TAGGGATATTGGTAATGACAGAGCCTTTGTCTCCCCTCCTGCAGAGTCCTCTCAAACATGCCAGATTTGCTACTGAAGTGACTTGGATGAAATCTCTTGCTCTTATCATTAATATCTACTTCTGGGAAAGAGCCTGGCTCCAACTGTCAATAGCAATGCTCCTACTGCCTTCAACAGAGGCAAGATTTCACACTTGATATCCCAGCCCTAACTGAATTCCTTGCTTTTCCAGCTGAAATGAAGATTACTTGAAAACTGAAGTTAATGAAACTAGTTGTACTGATGCTCTTTTCTTGATGGCAAAACCCTTCCTGGTTTAGCTTCTTAAAGATTCTCTGCAGGATTTATCCAGGAGCCCCAGTTCAGCACCCCATAAAACAGGCTGTCTGAACATACAGCAGTGACCAGCAACCCCACTGCGGGAAGGACTTGCCTTTCTCCCGGGTTATATATCCGGGAGACTCATTCTCTGAAGGGTGACAGGAATTGCCTCACTCCTCTCCCAAATCCAGCCATGACTAATGCTTGTGATGTGCCCTGAAACACTGGGAGGAAAGGTGCTAGGGAAATGCAAAGCAGCTTTCAGGAACAGAAATACATTGTCTCTCACTCTTCCTTTCCCCACCTTTTTTTCTTTCACGAGTCTTTGTTGTGGTCGTGGTTTGTTTTGTAAACAGAGCCTAGTACTGCTTGGCATCAGCATCTTCTCAGAGCAAACACAGAAAGCTCAGAAGTCTCCAAGTGCAACTGATTTCTTAAATATTTATCATTTCACTCCAAGGAAAATATTTAAGAGAAACAGAACGTGAAGTAAAGGGAGGAAAGATACAGTGTTATCTCACATGAACATCATCTCAAAGCACAACCTGATGTAAACCAGAACTAAACTCTGCACCAGCCAGCACAGAGCTGATCTCTAGAGCTTCTCTCAGCAGAGGCATCTTGCCATTGACATTCCCAGGCAAAAAAGCCACCCCTCAAAAGTCCAACAATTCCAAGCCAGGCAAAATCCCCTTCTTCAGATTCTCTAGTCTTGTTCCTCACTGGAAAAAAAAAATATATAGTGGAAAAAGATAATCACGTGGATCAAAAAGTCCTCACTTGAGAAAAAAATTGATATCCTTGGTAAAAAATAAATATGCAGCAGTTATTAAAGGTGAAACCAAAAAGTCAGACGTGGGGGAACTGACACCTGGCCACATCCTTTGCTCTCATCCCCTGGGGAAGGTTTGCTCCTGGAAGCCCTGGCTGACTTGCTGATGAGGTGATGGAGCTGAGTGACCTTCAGATCCATGGAAAGGGCAGACAGGCCCTGTGGACACACAGCAGCAACCTATAACTGGCAAGGGCTGAAGCAACTCAGCTCAGTCCTTTCCTGTTTGGGGGAGCTGGATGCCAGGGCTCTGCACTGGTCATTCCAGTGGAAGCACTTCCTGGCCTCATGAAGAGCCATTAAAGTTTTCCAGAAAATTAGCAAGGACTGACAAGAAACAGAAAGAAGAAGGAAAACCATTCTCCCTTTATTTATTTTTTTTTTTAAGGAAAGATGTTCAGACACAAAAGTGAAGGCAGTGAGCTCCAAATCACCAGGCACAGCTTGGTGGGAGGCAGTTAAAGGGAAATGCAGCCGGGATTCTCAGCACTGAGTCAGGACCTCCCTTTGATCTCCAGTTTTCCCAAGCTGCATTCCCACATGCAGCCCACCATTTGTTTTTAGTTAGACAGGACTAATGAAAAATACTCTGCTCGGGAAGAGCAACAAACAAGCTTTGCAGAAATCACACAGTGGCAGCCAGTCAAAATAAGGAAGAAGTAAAACCACAAAAGAGAGGTGATGGCATCTATTGCAGAGGGAAAGGCTCAGCTGCTTGGGATGCTCTGGGTATCTTTCATCTAGGAATTTCAAAGTCACCCAAATCAGTGATAGATAGATAGGGATCACCTCCTCACACACCACTAAATCTGTCTCCTAAATATGGAGCCAACAAACTGCTCTGGCACCCGAGGTTTATCAGCAGTGAGCCCTGCAGGGACTGTCCTGGCTCATCCTAATTCCCTAGTCAGGTTTGACAGGATCAGAGCTGTAGGTAGCACAATGCATCACATCATTTTGCCTTGTCATCACTGTAATTTGTGTATTTTCTGCATCCTCTTTTGTTTATTAGCCCACATAATTACACTATTCCCTGTTTCAGGGGCTACTGTGCAACATCATCATGATTTGCTGTCTCCTCTGAACGTCTCCTTTGCTGTCTCCTGTTGGAGCCCCAGCCCCAGCAATGTTCTTCCCTCCAGTTTTGTTTGTTGGCATCTGGCACAGCATATGCTGACACGGAGCAGTTCACATGTCTCAGAGCTATTGTTCCAGACTCGGCACATTTATAGTCACCATCAGTTACTCACAGCAGGCTCTGAAAAATTTTCATCACAACAACTAGAAATTCTTCAAATCTTTTAAATTAAAGCTCACAACTCAGAACTCGTGCATGCCCAGGCTTGCCTTTCTTAGTCACCCAATACATTAGCACAGAGTGGTATCATTTATCCAAATGGAGAGCTGGTATCAGCAGAGCCTTAATGTAGATTACATATGACAGTGTTTCACAGATGGAATGAGAACCAGAAAGCATCAAATCCAGCTCGTGGAACAGTTTCAACTATGTCTCTCATTTAAAACATTTTTGAAAGTGTATCTAGTGGGCAATGTTATATTTGTTTTTGCAATGCAAATGTGGCTGTCACCCCGTGTCTGAGACAAAAGCACATCCCACAGCTCTGCCATGAATTCCAGGTGCACAGCAACACCCATGATCCCCAACACCTCCCCACGTTCCACACGCTGTGCCCCTGGGCCCATGCCAAAGGCAGGGAGTGCTCCCAGGATAAGTGCCTTGCAGTGCCACTGAGGATGGGATAAACACAGAGCAGCAATCAGATTTGTAACCTCTGCGGCCACCAAATGGCACAATTCTCAGGGAGGGGTTTGCACTTTGCCTGCTGACAGCAAACTCCAGTTGTGTGTTTCTGGACATGCTAATAAAGCTTATAAAGCACATCATGAAGTGGTTTAGGGTCAGCTATCGAAACACAACATGGCATAATGGCTCTATCAAAAAGATCCTCCACTAAGGCACTGCAGGTCCTTGCATTCAAAGAGGCACTTATCTGGAGAAAGGAGTTTGTGGTTAACACTTAAACCCCACTTAAAAGTGTGAATTAACTTTTGCTGATAAAGCAACACTCAAGACTATGTTTAATATATCTGAAGCTCAACCAGAGGCCAAGGCTTTGTACAGTGAACAGGGTGTGCAAGTGGCCTGTCCATGGGTGAACACATCCCATGGCTGCAGCAAAACACCTTTGTGGATCTGCACCAGCTCAGTGAGGTGGGAGGGCCCTGGTGCAGACAGGTACTCTGTGCCCATCCCTCCTGGCTGGGACCCACCCCTCAGAGAGGGAGCTTGCCTAGACACAGTAAAACAGACCCAAACCAACCTCAGGACTTCTTTGGCAAGTTTTTGAGTATTTTCCCTCCGACACTCACAGGACATTCAGAACCCACGTGGACGCATTCCTGTGTCACCTGCTCCAGGTGACCCTGCCTTGGCAGGGGGGTTAGACTGGATGATCTCCAGAGGTCCCTTCCAACCCCAACCATTCTGTGATTCAGTGCTAGGAGCAGCCCCAGCTTCAACAGAGCACACACAGAGGCCACTGCACATCCCTGCCAAGCTCCATCCCTCCTGCTGCCCCTGGACCAGCCCCAGCACCTCACACACCTCCATCCCTTGACCCAAAACACACCTCATCCATGTGTATAAATATCTAAAGGGAGGGTGTCAGAGGATGGACCAGGCTCTGCTTGGTGCCAGCCACTAGGACAAGAGGCCACGGGCAGGAACTGATGCCCAGGAAATTCCACATGTACAGGAGGAAGATCTTCACTGTGTGGTGACCAAGCACTGAACAGGCTGGCCAGGGAGGGTGTGGAGTCTCCCTCACTGGGAATATCCCAGACCCGTCTGCACACAATCCTGTGCCATGTGCTCTGTGATGGCCCTGCTGGAGCAGGGAGGTGGCACCAGATGACCCACTGTGGTCCCTTCCAACCTGAAATAACCCCACTGACTTCACCCTCCTGCTCAGCTCTCACATGGACACAAACTCTTCCCTGCCCAGCCCGACCCCAAACCCCAGGCACACCAGGCAGTGCTTCCCTGAAGGGAAACATCCCCCACACTGAGGGGAAACATCCTGCAAAACAAGGGGACACATTCCCCAAACTGAGGGGAGACAGACCTGCAGCTTCCCCACCACAGCAGCCCAGGTGCGGTGGCTTTGGTCCCTGAATCCCAGAACCACTGAGGCTGGAAGAGACCCCGGAGACCATCGAGTCCACCCTGTGCCCAATCCCCCCCTTGTCCCCCAGCCCAGAGCACTGAGTGCCACGTTCCTCGGACACCTCCAGGGATGGGGGGACTCCACCACCTCCCTGGGCAGCCCCTTCCAATGCTTAATCACCCTTTCTGTGAAGAAATCCCTCCCGATGTCCAACCCGAACCTCCCCAGGTGCAGCTTAAGGCTGTAACCTCATCTGTCGCGGTTACCTGGGAGCAGAGCCCGACCCCCACCTGACTCCACCCAGCCCTCAGGGAGGGATCAGACCCCTGTCCGGCCCAAGCCGGTCCCCTCCCCTCCCTCCCCCACGTCCCCTCCCCTCCCCTCACCGCCCCGTCCCCTCCATCCCTCCCTCCCTCCGTGCGCGGCTCCTCCCGCCCTTCCCTTCCCGGCTGGGGCGGAGCCGGCGGGAGCAGCACCGCGCATGGGCCCCGCCGCCCTTCCCTGAGCCGTGTGCGGGGGGCGTGTGCCGGTACCGAGCGCCGTGTGGCGGTGCCGGCTATCGTGTGTCGTGTGCCGTGTGCCGGCGCCATCCCCTCCCGGCCTTCCCGGCCCCTCGTGCCCTGCGGCCGCAGGCGCGGCCATGGCGGTGCCGGCGGCCCGGGGCTGCTGAGCGGCGGTCGGGGCGCCCGGGCCGGGCCCCCGCGGCGGAGCGAGGTGAGCGCGGGGCGGGAGCGGCATCGCGGCACGGGGAGCGCGGCCATGGCGGGGCGGGGGGAGAGGGGAAAAATGGGAAATAACCCCCGATCCCAGCGCTCGCGGCGCCGTCGCGGTGGGTTTTTGTTCGGTCCGTGGCTCCCCACGCCCCGCTCCCGCCGCCCTTCCCGCTCGGCCGGGGCGCTCCGAGCGGGATGAATGCGCCTGTGGGCCGGGAATAATCGGTGGGAAGGAAGACTGGGAGGATAATGGGGATTTCAGCCCGCCCGTGCCGTCCCCCGCGGGTCTGGGCTTTGTGCCGGCTCCGCTGTGCTCTCTGCGGGGCCGTGTCCGGGGCCGTCCCTGCCCGGGCACACGCGGGGCTCGCCCAACAGGTGCTGCCGTGCCCGGGCACCTTCCACCCGAAGCCCCGGGGAGCTCCCCCCGGAGCGCCGGGAGCCGAGCGGGGCGTGGGGAGTCAGGGCTTGCAGGGAAGGATCCGTAACGCGTCTGGACCCTGAGCAGCGGGAACTTGGGAAAAAGGTCGATTAACCTTTGGAACTCGCCCGTGTGTGCTCACCTACGGCACCGTTTCCTTCCATGAACGGTGTGTCCCGCTCCGTTCTCCCCTGGGAACCTCTCTCCGTCTCTAAGAGCTGCTCCAAACCAGACCGATGGCTGGTGGATTGTAAGGAGGTGATGGGAACGAGTCAATTTTTGTTCCATCCCTGCACTTTCCACACGAGCTGGTGCAGCAAACAGCACTTTGGACAGAGGCTGGGATGTCCAGTTTGTTGTGTTGGTTGGTCCTGGCTCTAGAAGAATGCAATTGAGAGGAATAGGTGGAAAGGCAAGAAGGTAGAAGCTTAAAACATGCCATTTCATCTCAAGAAGAGCTCTAAGTGTATTATCCAAAGGTGATCAGACACTCCTCTTTGACATGAACCGATTGAGTCAGTTCCAGGACTCTTAAAATCCATTTCAAGTGTTTGAGGTTGGAGCTTTTGCAGAATAGGGACAAATACCCTGCACGTGTGATTTCTTTCCCGCTGCACAGATGTTTTCTCATTCTAGTTTTGCAAAATCAGGTTAGCCTTGAGTGAGCAGCTTATTTTGACTGGGAAGTAAAACATTACGTATTCTTTATGATAAAAGAGCAAGTAAATAGTTCTTGTGCTTGGACTGGTTTGTTTTCATGAGACTTGTTGGAGGTTGCTTGTGCCTTACCAGGGTACACGTGTAGAGCTGATGGGTTTGTAAGGCTGGAACACATTGGAACCAGCTGGAACAATCGAAATTTTGGTCCTTTGAGGGCATATAGTGATTGAGGTAGTAAAGGTGGAAAGGAGTCAGTCTGGGAAAATGCAAACCCTTTTATTTAGGGAAACAGAACTGAAAGCGTTACTGTGGTATTCACTCCATGCACAAGGTACAGAAATATTAGTCCATTGCCAGAAGCAAATTATTGGTCAGTCGTTCAGCTTGTGGTCTTAATGTGGGATTTGTTTGTTTAAAGTGTGTTTGTCGAGTTTTTGAAGAAACAAAGAGCATCTGAGGCAAGTCATCAGAAACATCATTGGGGAATTGGTTTAGGTTTAATGTCTGGTTTGTAGCTGAATGTTGCAGTGGTTTTATGCCACTTTCAGCGGATGGGTTGTGGAATATCAGGATCCCGGGTTGTGGAATATCAGGATCCCGGTTCTTAATCATCTGTTTGTGTAATGCAGAGTGAGGGGAATGATGGTGATGTTGGATTTAAGGGAGAAGGATTCCAGTGGTGATTTACTGGCTGGGGAGAAGATCCCAAAGGGAGTGGAGGAAATCTAAAAAAGAAGGGGAGCAGTGCTACTTTGGCCCTTTCTCCCTGGGCTTCTGATTCTTTTGTGAACATCTGTAAAGGAAATGTCATTTTGCTGTTTGAATACATTGTTTTGCATGAAGTGTCAGACCACATTATCGGTATGATTCCAGTCAACTTCCCTCATTTCAAAACAAACACGTCAAATACAGCAATATGTTTATACAAAAATTCAGTGTGTTTTACAGGAGCCCAATATCCATATTTCCAAAAATAAATGATGTTTTTCATACTTTATTATGGCTAGAAGAGTTTGTGTGGGAGAGTTGGAATGGGTTCCCTTGGCCTTTGTATCCTGCTCTGCACAAATAAGAGGAAGATGTTGGCCTTTTCATGAACTGGGGGATTATTTTCATTCACACTTCCTCAAAATATTCTTTTCCATGTAGTAGTTCTGATTCCAGTGGCTGTGACCAAGGCAAGAGCTATTGTCTCACAGTTATTGGCTGGTCCTGGGGTAAGGACAGAAAGGGAAGAAGGTATAAAAAGATGTAGGTAATGTGTGAATTTTGGCTGCAGAACCCTGGGATTGCTCCCGTGGGACTGTCAGCACGGGTGGCTTCTGTCAGGTGAGGTGTCACAGGGCCAGGTCCTGTCCCGGGTGTGCTCCTCACCTGCAGCTCCTGGCTCTGCTTTCAGGCTCTCTGTGCTGCAGCAGCATCTTGGACCAGCCAAGCTGCTGAGCTCCCTGATTTTCCGGGTTGTACGAGGTCGGTGTGAGCCAAGGAGGATCCTGACCACCCATTCTGCTCCACCAGACTCGAGCAGGAATTTGAGGGTGAGCTCGTGGGATGTCTGTGGACGGTGTCAGAGTCACTGCTTGGCTCCGGCAGCTGCCCTTGGAATATCTGATATTGTAGTCAAAGAGAAGCAAATCGAAGTGTTTATCAACTTTTCAAGACCATAAATTATCCTTGGAAAAATAAGTCATGTCGGTGTCTGGGGTGAAGCGGGTCAGCAAGTCTGGGCAGTTGGAGCCTGTGGATTTTCCCAGTGATTTCTATTCTTATGCTAATCCTCTGAGCAGGCTGTGGCTGTGGCCGGTGGGAGAGGAGGGATGTGCACACTGAGGGCACGAGAGAGGAGCCATGTTTTTGTCCTTATTGTCATGCAGATCGGGCGTTCCAGCCAACCACAGTTTGGAGACTCCGTAACCCCAGGATGTGATGCTGTGGGTCAGCAACCATTTATTTAGCGATTCTGAGCCGCTTTGAGTGAAACACTTGCTTTTCACTGTTCATTTGGGGGGGGTTGTTTGTTTTGCGTTGGTTTTTTTGAATCCATGGTTGTAGCTAAAACCAAATGGTTGTATTTGCTGCCGAACAATTAAAGTTGGAAAACTTCAGTTTTTCAATTTTTAATTATTGTATTAGGTAAAAAGTGTAGGGAGGCAGGAAAACTGTGAGCTGCTTATTTGAATCCTTCTTCTACTTCTGTGGGTGACTTGCTGTGTTTCTCCCACACCGTTTGTCTGCGAGCCCCCAGTTTCTGCTGTGTAAGAGATTTTAGATAAATATTTATATATCAGTATATTTATTTATTTAGAGGTATATATTATTGGGTAGTCTGTGGTTGTTCCTGGGGAAGGGGGGTGTGTGCCACTTGAAACCAGGTAAAATATGTACATACCACTCACAAGGGTTTATCTGTTGTGTATTTGTTTCTAGAGATTGTTTTAGAAATAGGAAGTAATGGAGAGGTCTGAAAGACATGCACCAAGTTAGGATTTATATTACCTGTATTACATTATAGACACTGCAGCTGTTTGTGGTCTCTGTCCTGGACAGATTCTGACTAATATCCATGGGGGCTTCTGCAGTTCGATGTGCAGGGAGTGTTAAGCACGTTAAGAAGGCTTTGGGTGTTTATTCCAGTGGTGTTTTGTGGTGCTGGGTCTGTGTTCACTGCAGCAGATCCGCTTATCCATATTTGTGTGTAGTACTGGATTCTTTGGAAGTGTGTGAAATAATTAAAACCCGCCCTTTAAACTATTTAGTAAATTGGATTTGCTTTACCAGCAGTGGGACAGGAAGTTAATCGTGTTTAAGCTGATGTTGACTTTTCCAATCTGATTTTCCCTGGGAAGAAACTTTGCTACCTAGTTGTTAAATGCACAGTTAATTACCTGCTGATTGTTTAAGCTGATAAACCAATGCTACCAGGTTTGCTGTAATGAGGCTGGTAAATGTGCCTTGTGTATGTGCCTTAGATGTGCTTCCTTGTGCTATTGTCTTGTGATTAAACTCAGTATTAAGTATTATTAGGTAACGATTTGAATGTATTTAGTGTTCTCAGGTGATGATTATGGCACCCAACTTACTCACTGGGTGTTCTTGCTCTGTGCTTACACATGTGTAGTTCTGGAGGTGGTGGTGTCCTCCAGGAATATTGTATGGGAATATGGCTCTGCAGCTTTCAACCCATAGTTTGGAAAGTAAGATACCCCCAAATCTCCACTTCTTAAAATCACTGTTTGAAGAACCTTTACTTTCTTTCAGTCCTGCTTCTGTGGCTGTGTTGCACCGTTCTGAGCACGTCTTGTCTTGGGCTGAGGTCAGTGGTTGAGGCAATATTTGGGAGCAGTTACTGATCCATGAGTCATTCATCCTCCTGCCATCCCAGTTGCTTTTCCTGCTGAAGAAGCTGCAGTTGTTGCCCCTCCATTCCCTCCCTGGTGTGTCCAGAGCTTTTCCTTGCCCACATCTCACTATTAATGTGTGTGGGTAGAGAGCATTGATTTAGTGTGTCCACTATAATTCATTAAGAATCAGAGAAACTGGAGTTTTCCCAGCTTCCACCATTAATTCATTAAGCCAGGACCACAAGAACTTTGGAGCCTGGCTTCCCATGGATTTCAGGGTAAAATTGACTGCCTAAACATCCCTGAGGTTTTTTTGCTGGATGGAGGAACACTTGATCAGCCACAGCCTGAGCTGTGGCCTTTGGTCTTGTTTAGTGGCTCTTGCTCTGGGTGAGTTGGGTTTGAGATGCAGGGATGAAAGGTGGTTTCTAAAAGCTTTGTCATCCCTTACTGGCAGATTGAGATAATCAGTTTTGCTCAAAATAACTTTTGCAAGATGTTAAGTGGCTTGAAAATTCATGCTTCTTACAGAAAGCTGTGTTTAATCCTCTGTGTATTTTGTTATCTGAGAGATGTTTATCA